TTTATATGCAGGTGTGGGTGGATTCAGGTTTAGAGAGAGAGAGAGAGAGAGAGAGAGAGAGAGAGAGAGAGAGAGAGAGAGAGAGAGAGAGAGATTACACTACCATTTCAAATTTCAAGCTGTGTTGATTTGAGATGCACCACCAGAGGCCAGTAAGGAACAGGGTAATGGCAGTGTGGTTTGTGCAAACGTGCATGCAAATGTATGAGCTTGGAGAACTGCATGTGCAACATGAAGCATTAAATATGAACCCAAAGGCTATTTCTGCAACATAACACAGTCAAATATCGTAAAATAACCACTTTTTTTCATGTCTTAAATGAAGTGTGGCAAAGTTATCATAAGTTTTTACCTCACAGCATTCCAACGATTTCATGTTCATTTTCAAACCAATATCACAGATGAATGATTTATTAGATTCTGTAAGTAGGTTGTAATTCTCAAATCAAACTCTTGCTCCATTAGTTTCACTGTAATTTAGTCCTGACTGTATGAGAATCCATTAAGTGTTAATTGAAGTAGACAGAACAATGAAAGAAACTTTTATGTTTTAACTCGAAAACATTTCTGGTCACATTATTCACAGTTTAGCCCACGACTCGGCACTGCATAAATACTAAATGTCTCAGTGTTTACCCAAAGAAAATCTTCCATTCAGAACAAGATGCATTTTGAGAAATATATATCTTGCACTGTGAAAAGCCTTTTCTTTTAGCCAAACGTGTCAAATTAAATAGTTTGTTGACGTCTCACATATGCATATTCAGAACAGAAGTGCCGAAAACTTGTTGCAAAAAAAAAGGTGGAAAAATCTTGAGTCATGCTTCATTTCTGTAAATTTTGTTTCCAATAAACTAGACTCTTAAATTACTCAAAAGTTTTTTCAAACATTTTCTTTGAACCTTGGCTGCTTTGTCTCTCAGTTTCAGTCCAGTATTGTCAAAGGAATGCTTTTATTTATTTATGTTTTTGTTGGTCTAATGATTCATTCAGGCTTGAAAGAAATCCTCAACACCAACGATGAACCAGCATTGTGTCAAAAAAACAAACAGACGACTTAGCAAAATATCAAAATAATTTAACGACTTAGCAAAATATCAAAACAATTTAAGTCTTTCTGCACTTTTTTAGTAACTGTGTGTCACAAAGACAGTTTTTTTACCACAGTTTATTCACTAGTAACTAGCAGAAGTATGAGCTAGGTGGATCTTGTATACAAAACTGCAATTTGTTTTAATTCAAATTGCTGAGTTTAGGAATAGTGCCAAATATAACTTGCTTTGCCTACTGATGGTGGTCAGAGGGTCTGGGCCGGTGCATGGCAGCCTCACATCAGTGTGTCCCAGGGCAGCTGTAGCTACAATGTAGCTCACCATCATCAGTGTGTGAATGAATGGGTGAATGGCTTTAAGTGCCAAGGGCTTTGGGGTCTGGAGGGACTTGATAAAGTGCTATATTAGTTCAGTCCATTTACCATTTTTTGCATTTACACAGCATGCTGCCAAATTCTTAAGAAAAACTGAGAAAAAAAACTCAGGAGCAGCGGAAAACTGTGAATCAAGGCCACTTTTAAGGGTTACAAGAAAGTCTGGGAACTTATATATTGTATAAAATTATAATAGATGTAACAGTAAATACAATAAATAACCTCTACTATTATAAACAATTATAATCTTCAGCAATTTGTGTTAGTTTTTCATTCATTTTATTACCTCAGATTCTCCTTTTCAACAACTGCATTTCATTTTTGGATTTATTTTTTCATCTATATTTTTATCCACACTGTATTTTACTAGCAACCTAATACATTATATAATATGTGTATGTTGTTGTTGTGATACAACAAAAATGGTTGCTCTATAAATGTGTAATGCATTTTTTGAAGATATATGTAACCCATTCCCTTTATTTTAATATGACAACTCCTCTTCAGGGATGTGTCACCTCCTTTCTATCGCTTCATCAACAACTTTGATGTGAACTCTACATTGAGTCTCTCATTCCCTGAATAGCTGACTGGATGTGTCTTGTCAGAGTGATAGCTTTTCATATTTTCCAACAGACCCATTTTCATTGCATTTACTCAGTTCCTCTCTGGTGCACATGTCTGTGAAAATCTGCACTCTCACCTTTGTGCACACGTGAACAAACTCTGCATGCAGCACACGTAGGCACATACACACACTCATACACACAAAGTAGGTCACCTTGGTGTATGTCAGCCTGTGCATCCATGTTTGTGTGTTCAAGTGCTTATTTGCACTCTTGTGGATTTTTGTTTTCGTCCACTCATGGTCCTCTCTGTGTCCTCGTGGCCTTGGACAGTGTGGAGTCATTAGAGCAGAAGTCACTTAGCTTAAACTCAAAATGTAATTTTAAGACCTGAGGTCAAGTGCATTCACATCGGTGCATGTGTGAGGCTGAAATAAGAGCATACAAATAATGACAACACACAGGGATTGTGAATTCATTAGTCTGGCTTTAGACTCCTCAGTTGTGTCCAGCAATCTCTCAATAAATAAAGCACGCTGAGCGTCACTATCTTTGGACCTCCATGGCGATAAATGAACAACCATGAACCATTTGAGCAAACGGAGGAGYCCTTCAGCCTGAAAATCCTTGAACACCACAGGGAGAGCTGAGACAAGGATTTACGCACACATACAGGCACTCTCTGAAGCTCTCTCAGGCAAACTTTTAATGGTTTTATCTGGTTGGCCGCATCTTCGACTGTCGTCCCTATTTAACCTACAGCTAACACAAACATCAGACTGATTAATTATAGCTTAATAATTCATTAAGTGCTACGCCTCTGTGACAAACAAGATTATGATGTACACTTCTGTAGGAGAGCTCCCATTTGACTGGGTGAGACAAGGTTAATTTCTTTCTCTGACTTCACAGTCTTCATTACCTTTAGTTGTTTTTATTAAGAGTGCTTCTGATATGCAATATTATCTGCATGGATAACTAAATAGGTGTGCGCAGTTACGCTTTGCTTCGCTGATATATTTTTTATGTTGCGAACTGCTGCAGCTGAGGTTTTAGAATTGTCTTTGCCTAGATGTCTTTGCAACTGTCCCCATAYGATAAATGAAAACAGAGCACATAAAGATGATATTAAGATGTTGAAATTAACAAAAAGGTACTGGGTATTCATGACAATTTTATAGTTTACAACATAAAAGTGTTTAAGATGTATTTTCTGCAGTTGTTGTTTTCAACAATGGTTTTAAAATCCCAGTTTCTTTCAATGTAAATTTTGCATAATGTAGGCGTACAGTGACAATGGGCAAACAAAAGTTAATTGCCTCGCAAATTGTTGAATTATCCTTATCTCAAAAAGCCAACTGTATTTCATATCAGAGTCTTTGACATCTGTATGTAAGGTCTGTTCATCAAGGCAAATCTATGTTCGTCGTTTGATCAAAAAGAATAAATAAATAACACTTTAATATCATTATAACTTATAGTTTTTATTAATTTAGYAATAATATAAATATAAAAATYATAAAACTTTTATTTACAGTGAAATATATTGTATTAATAATATGTTGTAAACACCCCCCAAACGATGTTGCAACTGTCCCCGGCTACGTGGTCAGTTGCAACATCCGACTTTTCTTTTTCAAATGCAAATTGTGAAGAATGTACRTGCTTTAATCATCTATAAATGGTTTTGACTATTAACAGACAGATGTAAGTTTATTGTATTAAAATCTCTGAGTAACAGAGTCGGATGCAAAAGGTGTTGCAACTGTCCCCGGTCTTCCCTATTCACAATCCGTTTATGAGGCAGGGGAGTTGGCTCCAGACACAGGCAGCGCAACACAAGACCAGGTGACTGGCTCTCTTACAGGTTCTTCCAGGATCGCAAGGAGAGGATCGTCCAGGTAAATCTTGGGAGGCATAAACTCTGTACACAGAAATACAGGAAGGTTAGATTGACTCTGGGAAGTTAAACACACTGAGGCTGAGTATCTTTACCAAAGGCAAGCGGTGCATGAGTGAACAACTGATCCTCTGATCCGCCTTAAGAACCCAGAGTGCTGTTGAACCAGATCTGCTGCAGCTTACCAATTGGTAATGCCAGCCAATCAGGAACCAGGTATCAACAGGGAAAAACACAGAATGCCTCAATTATTCTGCTAATTTGTACTTTTTTGTGAGTCTTTATGCTATTTTGAGTTATTTATGCTTCTTACTGTTGCATTCTGTTATGTTCAGCTATTTTAGCTTTTAGCTTTTAATGCTAATTCAGCTACATTTTTACTCCTTTTACTGATTTTCTGTCTTTTTTCTGCCTTTTTTTGCTTATTTCAGATTTCCGAGTTTAACTTACAATAATACTTTTGCTATTAAACATGTTCAGCTCAATTTCAGCAGCTYTCAGCTAAAGTTTTCAGCAACAGGCATTCACACTAGCATTTTCGCAGGAAATGAAATTCTCTTATTATTAAACTTTATTTCTCCAAAGCCAAATAGTTAACTACAACAGGTAAGATACTTATTGTTCAAACCCTTTCTAAAGAGCTTACAAAAGATCTAAAGTATTGCTTTAACCATGCTGCTCCCCTCTTTAAGAAAAAAAATGGGTTGATCAAGAACTGGATATAGGTTATTTTTTTATTTTATTACTATCATTCATTCATTCATTCATTCATTCATTCATTCATTCATTCATTCATTCATTCATTCATTTATTCATTCATTCAACACTAACTCGGGGGGAAGCACCAGTAGGAGGTATGTTAGAATGATCTAACAGATAGGACCACTTCCACACAGACGAGCTGCGTTTTGGCTCAACCCCTGAGTGACTTGCCGTGGAAGGGAAACGGTGATGACGACAGCGCGTAAATGGGCTGCTGGAAACCAGAGACGCTCTGGTTTGAACGGTGAGCACAAGTGCCTGTCAGCCACCACCAGCAAGCTCCACATCATCCAGGAACATCATCCAGTACCGGGAAGCCTCGTGCGTTCGCAGATGGATCAGAGAGGGATGCGCTTTTTTACTCTCCTACCGCTGCGAGTCTGATTTCTTTATTCCGCTTTGCTTATGTTCAGGCGCGCGTTCACACCGTATCTGGAGCAACTTTACAAGCAGCTGAGCCTGATCTGATAACAAGTGCCCAAAGTAAGGATGTCCACGACGCACCACGGCTCCCCAGCGCCCAACCAGAGCTACCTGTCCCCAGACAGCTCTGACACGGCGGATCACTCCGGGATGGAGAGGCGCATCCGTCTGCTGCTCTTCGGTTTGTGCGTAACCATCGCCGCCGCGACCTTAATCGGAGGCGTGTATTCGCTGCTGTCGCTCCTCCGGATGAGGAGAAAGACCTCCCTGTGTGTCATCGTGGCTTCCATGTCGGTGGACGACCTGCTCAGTGTGGTGCCCCTCTCCTTGTTCATGCTCCTCCAGTGGGAGACCCCCGCGGGAGGTGAGGGGTCTGGCCTCCTGTGCACTTTGTCCGGACTTCTCTACGTGTTTCAGGGGGTTTCCAGCAACATGAAGGCTTGCCTCATCGCAGCCTACACTTTTTATGTCACCAAGCGATTCGGGGTGCTTCAGTCCGCGCGCCGGCCCCTCGGGGTGCTGTGGGCTGTCGCCAGCGTGTGGGCGGTGAGCCTGGCCGTCAGCGTGATGCCGCTGTGTGGATGGGGCAGCTTCGCGCCAGCTTCTCTCGGGTGTTTCCCGGAGAGCGACAGCTTCTACGTCCTGCTGCTGTTCTCCCTGTACTCCCTGTGCTTCTGCGGGTCGCTCTTCTTCTTCACCCCTCTCACCTACCAGCTGCTGTGCTCCAGAGAGCCCCAGAGGACCCTCCTGTACCCCAGCTGCTTGGACATGTCCAGGGGGCTGAGTGGTTCCGCGCCCCTCTGCGATCTCCAGTCCTTCTCCCGGGACAGCCTGGACAAAAGTTTGGGCGCGTACAACGAGCTGAGTCCAAGTTCGAGCGGGACAGAGATGAGAGAGAAGGAGGTCAGTGTGTCCCCGGTGTCCGCCGGTGGACAGAGGACAGCGGCTGTCGGAGACACGCCGGTGGTGTTTGCACAGAAGCGCTTCTCCATGATTCTGGCTGTAGTCCGAGTCATTTTATGGATGCCAATGATGGTAAGGAGCCRGAATCACAAATAAACAACAGTGAAAATACAAACGTTAATTTATAGGTCCATGAAAAATAATGATAACTTGATTTGACTGTTTCAGTGATTTATTCTCTTAGAATGAAAGAAAAAAGCAGAATTGTTTGGCTCCATCAGCCTTGTTTTTAAACACAGAATGGGAATGAAGGGAGGTGGATGTGCCATCTGCGCACATCTACTAAACAGCTTAACAGCCAGATAAAAATAATAAATAAAAATAAAAAACARCCTCCATTGTAACACCATAAAGAAATAAATAAAAAGTATAATAGCTAGTTTTACAATAAACTAACACTTTTTTCACTCTCCTAATTTTATATTGTAAAATAAAGCAAACCCAGAAGTTCTATAATTAAATCTCAATCTCYTTTAAAATAAAAGTCCAATTGATTATTTGGTATAATCTTGAGTATGTTCCATCTCATTTTATGGCATGAACTGCCAATGCAAGTTTTGTGAATAATTTTCAGATACTATCACATCACATTTTAGATCAATATCTGTAAAACTGACTGAGGTCATTTTTTTGTGTAGGATAAGGTGAATTAGTGAATTATTTTTAAGCCTCCCTGGTAAGGTCTATTCAGGGGTCCTGGAGAGGAGGGTCCGTCAGATAGTGGAATCTTAGATTCAGGAAGAGCAGTGTGGATTTCATCCTGATCGTGTATTTTGTGGACTTGGAGAAGGCGTTCGACCGTGTCCCTCGGGGACTCCTGCGGGGGGTACTCCGGAAGTATGG